GGCGGACTGCACCTGCCTGGCAGCGCTTCGCACCTGGTGGGCTCCGAGCGCGGTGGGGCGGGCGGGCGGGCGAAGGGACCGGCTCCGGTTTCCCGGTGAAACACCCGGCAAGGCGCAGTTGAGGCCCCCACCCTTGGTGGCGGCCGGGCGCCCCGCGGGGATACCGCGCTGCAGAACAACTTGGCTGTGCCTTCAGCAGGGCGAGCGCTGTCCCTGTTCCCAAGCACGGCCTCTGCCCGGCTGCCCCCTGAGTGACTCTGTTGGGCTGGCTGTGAGCATCGCCCCGCTCACTGTAGAGCAGAGCGATGCTGGGTGTGCGATCCCGACCCCAGGGACTGCCGCAGTGTGGCCTCAAGGATGGCTGTGCTGAGGAGGGAACGAGATGTGGAGTTAGGAACACGATTTGGAGTTAGATGGGAGTTGAATGGCCCTGTGGTCCATGGATATGATTTTTGCCCACCAGGATTGAGGCATCTTCCCAAGACAGAGTGGGGAAATTCATGTTTCAACTGACTGCTCTGTACCTCATCGGAGTCAGGGCTTCAGCCTGAGATCCTCCATGGGCATACATTCACTGGGTCTATAGAACCCGATGAAAGAAGCTAAATAATGGTCTCGAAGTAACGAACCTATGCTTACATCTGGCACTGAGCAGCAGTTCTGCCTAAATGAAAAGGCACTCTTAGGATGTAGTACTTCATTGAGAATGTTCTACTCTAGGAGCGTTTTTAGCTCCAAATCCTTGGGAGAGGGGACTGTTTTTAAACATGTTCTTATACTTGCAATAATTTGAGGACATTGACACAAAACCACCTTGGGAGCTTTAAGGTGTTATATTATATTTTAAGTCTTATTATGAAGGATGGAAATTGTAAGAAGCTTGGCAAACAAAAAGTAAAGATGCCTGTGCAGTAAGAATTTGCATAAGGCACAGCAGGAGCTGGCAAATACAAAAATGAGGTTTGTAACAGTTAAAACTCTTGAAATAGGCTTATTGCTATGGCTCCATGTTGCTTAGATCTTTCAATTATACCAACATAAAATCCTCCAGTCTGGGCATTGGAAGCAATGGATGTTCCTTGATCCTAAGAGGAAGGAATGGGGAAGAAAGAAAAAAAAAAACCCAAAAAACCTCTCAAACCACTGTCTAGAGAATCCAGTTGTCCTTGTACTTTCAGGAGAGTGCTGTGACCTGACGGCAGTTCCCTTACCTAATGCTGCCACTACCATGTTCTGATTTAGAAGTACCTAATTTAGTTTTAAGTCAGATACTGTAATCTGTGCAGGTGTGGTAGCATGGAGTCTGGGGCAGAGTGAGCTGCTCTGGGGTTATACCCAAACCTGGTTCCTCTGGCCAACAATCTATCTGCTGGCATAAACTCAGAAATGAAACCTGCACCTTAATGAGCATTTTCAGCCTTGTGAAGCTGACTCATTTAGGCTAAATGACTTAAAAGAACACATTGTTTGTGCTTTGGTTTATATGCTCTGCTGTATCTTTGGTTTTTCAATTTAAGACATTATTACTCCCTGTTGCCTATTCTACAACTCTGGCAGCATCTTAAAGTAATTCTTCAGGAAGGCTGGTTTAAACTGAGAGACAAGGTTTATATTTAAGCATCAAGGACACTTTGCTTCTGGAATAGTTGGTTATGAGTAAATTATTATCTGAAACCTAATGTCCACTTCCCAAAGAAACACGTCAAAGTTTTTAGTGTCCATCAAGGACAAGAGATGAGAGGAGTTCTCAGTGCTGTTGAAGAACTTAAACAGAATATTAAAGCAAAAAAAATTTTAACAGATACATAATTTACATTAAACTGGAGACATAATCCAAATATGCTAATTACTCATTGTTTAACTGACTCTGAAACATGAAAAATTTAAAATTCACCTCTTTCTATGGTTGGTCATACCAAGCAGTAGAGTTGTTTTAATATCTATATATGTCCCTTGGACAAAGTATATTTAAACTTACGTGTGTAGAATTTCTTATTTGTTCTCTGGACTTTTTCCCACCTTTGCATCTTTTACCAATGGCAACATTAAATTATTTGTTAATTCACTGTAAGATCTAAGCACGTTTTAAAAAAAAACAGTAGCAAGCTGGCAATGAGCACAACTGGCAAAAAAATGGTGCCCAGCACAGGAAAAAGTAAAAATGTTAAGATGAGGTGCTTATATATAGTTTGCAAAAAAGGTCTTGAATACATTCCCCTATCCTTACTTTGTGCTTTCAAACAGGTTATTCTCAATCTTCAAATAGCATTCAGTATACCTCAACAATTGCATTTTACATGTGCAGTATTTATGACATTTTGTGAGCATAAAGGTATGAAAACTGCAAGTAACTGAGAAGAGAGTACTTTTCCTGATTCTTTTGTTAAATAA